CTTTACCATCTTTATATGGATTTGGTATGAGCATATTACTGACTTCAAAAAGGTTGGAGATAGATGGTTGGTTTGAAGGTAAATGGATACAGTTGGAGGACATCATGTTAAGTGAAGTAAGCCAGACTCAGAAAGACAAAGGCCGCATGTTTTCTCTTATATTTGGGAAATAGACACAATACAAAAACAAGCAATGTTATGAAAAACACATTATGTTAATGGGAGATCACTAATGGGAGAGGGGAGTAAAAGAAGGAAATTAAGAAGGTGAATATGGTTGATGTACATTATATGTAGGAATGAATATAGAATTTTTAAAGCTGTTGAAATCACCATAAGAAAAAGACTAAGGTAGAAAGGAGTAAAATAGAAGAGATGAACCAATTTATGGTATAATACATTTATACATGGAACTATCATAATGAAACTCCTTGTATAGCTCTGTTAAACAACCAAAAAAACCCATTTATTTAAAAAATGGAGAACAAAAAGTTAAAACAGTTCCTGTCTGGGGGTAGGTACCAATGAGACGGGGGAGATATAAGGAAAGGGTATGGGAGGGTGAACGTGGTGGAGATATTATGTACAAAAATGGAAAAATGAAACCTGCTGAAACTATTCCAGGAATGGAGTGAGAAGAGGATAAAGGAGGATGATGGAGGGGATGAATTAATGATGATATAGGAACTTCCATAAATGTCACAATATATCCCCAGTACAACAATAATATAATTTTAAAATAAAAATATAAAGCTTATAGATGGTTTCTTTAATTTTTCTGGATGAGTCTGAGAATGATTGGTATTGATTGTTCTTTAAGTATTTGTAAATATTCACCCATGCACCTCCCTGGTCCTTGTTTTACTTTGTTGAGAGGAAATATTTATTGTTTCATTCTCCTTACTCATTTTGGTCCTACTTAAATTGTCTGATTTTTCATGATTCTTTCTTGGTAGGTTATGTGTTTCTAGAAATATATCCATTTCTCCTAGATAACCCACTGTGCTTGTATAGAATTGTTCACACTGGTCTATGATAGTATTCCTATGATGTAAGTTGTAGTAAATTCTCTTTCATTAATATTTTATTTAATATGGATTTTCTCACTCATTTGGTTAGTCAAGCTAAAGTCTGATTAATTTTATTGTCCTAGAAAAACAGGTAGACCTACTAGTTGATGTGTGATTTTCTTCTCTACTGTACTTACTGGAATGTTGACCTATAATTTTCTTCCTGTGCAATCCTTATCTGCACTTGGCATGAAGGTGTAACTGGTCTCATAAAGTCAGGAGGTGCTCTTTTAAAGTTTTTGGATGAGTTTTAGAAGGATTGGTCTTGATTCTTCTTTAAATATTTTCAAATATTCACCCATGAATTCATCTGGTTTCATCTATCTTTAAAAAAACTTTGGACTTGGGTTTTTTTCTAGTTCTTTGAGGTATACAGTAAGCTTCTATACTTAAGATCTTTTTTGTTGACTTAATGAGAGCATTAATAACTATAAATTTACCTCTTGGAACTTCTTTTGCTGCACCTCATAAGTTTCAAACTTAGTTTTTGATTATCTCAGAATATTTTTATATTTCCTTTTTTATTTCTTCTTTGACCCTCTGGTAGGTCAATAGCATATTATTTAATTTCCACACATTTGTGAAATTTATAATTTTCCTATCACTACTACTACTACTGAATTCTAGTTTCCTACCAATGTAGATGGAAAAGATAGTTGACATATTTACCTCTTCTTAAATTTAGTAAGAATTCTTTTGTGGATCACAATATGATCCATGCTAGAAATGGTCTGTGTATACTTGGGAATAATAGTATTCCACAATAGTGAAGTGTAACGCTCTGCTTATGTCTCTTAGGTACAGTCAGTCTTTTCTAGTACCAAGTTCACTCTTTCCTGACTGATTTTCTTTTGGACAGTCTGTCCCTTGAGGAAAGTGGATTATTGAGGTTCCCTACCATAATTGTTTTGCTTTATGTGATACATACCTTCAAGAGGGATGTACAAATATCTACAATTGTTATATCTTCATGATAATCTACCATCTTTATCACTTATAACAGATTTTGAGTGAAAGTCTGTCTGTCTCATAAAAGAATAACCTCCCTTCTTTCTTTTGGTTACCATTTGCATGGAATATGATTGTTTCCTTCACTTATAATAGCCTTTGAATGTACTTAAGGTTAATTTGAACCAATTATAGGCAGAATGTTGTTACATTCTTGATTGTTGTCCATTCAGCCACTCTATGTCTTTTGATTAAACAATTTAATCCAGTGACATTTAAATTAATTATTAGTAAGGACTTACTATTATCTTTTTGATTATTGTTCTGTATTGTTATATATTTCCATGTAGCTTTTTCCTCTCACGTTTTTCTCTTTTGTAATTTGTCAACATTTTAGTATTGGTATGGTTGAAAATCTTTCTGTTTATCTTGGTGAGGCTATTGAAAGGTTCTTTCTGTGGTTACCTTGAGGCTTACATTGCCCATTTTACAGTTGCAGTATTCTATTTTAACTAAGCAAATTAACTTTAATTATGTACAAACATTACACACTTTCACTAACCTCCCCACACACACATCTTTCTACTCTTGATGTCATTCTGCACACATTTCTACATCATGCATTAATTAACAAATCATTTTATAGTTTAATACTTTTATCTTTGGCACTCTATTTAAATGTGTCTTTGTTCTACCATTTCAGTCTCACAATGTTCTAAATTTGACGATATTTATCTTTACCAGTGAGCTTTACACTTTCATATACTTTATGCTGTTACTTAATATCCTTTTATTTCACCTTTGAAAACTTCCATTAGTATTTTTGTATGGCAAGTCTAGTGGCTATGTATTCCCTCATCTTTGTTCTTTTTTATTGTAATGTATCTTGGTGTACTTGTCTTCTAGTTGATCTTACTTGGGATTCTTTAAGCTTTATATATCTGTCCCTATCCTTTCCAAGATTTGGGAATTTTCAGCTATTACGTCTTTACCTAAGTTTCCTTACTCTTTCTGTCTTCACCTTCTAAGTGTATCACACTGTGTTTGTTTGTTCGTGTGCTGGTATCTCCTAAGTCCTTATGCTTTCTTTTCTGTTTTGCATTTTTTCTCTCTGATACTTTTGTGTAAAAAAGGTTCTTAAGACAACTAATGTGCTATTTCATGGTCTACAGTTGGAATTGAGGCCAAAAACTTGTCTTTGGATTCCAACTCTCACACAGACACTTTTGTCCATGAATGGCTCTCAAATTGTTATTGGTGAGGGAAAATACAAGAGGGAAAACCTCCTGTTTCACCATCTTCCTGACATCCTTGAGACTATAATTTCAAATAAAATACACTGATGTTTTTATCATTAAAAGTGCAACAAGGAGTAGACATGGTAGCTCGTGCCTGTAATCCCAGCTCTCAGAAATCAGAGGCAGGAGAACTGGGTGTATAAGGTCAAACTGAACTACATAGTGAGTTTAACATGAGCTTAGGTTATATAGTGAGGGCTATTCTAAAATGCAACAAAAATTGGAAATTATTTGTTCAGAAGAACTCAAAGTAAATGTTTATGTTGCAAGTATGAATTTCTGTCCAGCCTTTTTATTTGTGTGAAAACAAACCAGATATAGGAGAAAGAAAATATTTTATTATAAATAAATATTTATTTTCCTTACCTCTAGAGTTCAGATACACACAGATGTGCTAAGTAAACCTTTGAAGATGTCAACAATCACATTTTTGTGGTTTTACAAAGTCACTCAACACCAACAATTATCTAGAAATATACATATTGGGATATTAACAGGAATTTAGAATGTAACTCTTATAAAAATAAATATGACCAGAGAGAGAAACAGAGAAAAAATGTGGTTCAGACAAAATAGAAGACAAGTAATTCATGATGAATAAATATCTATTCAGATCAGTAAATATATCAGAAACATGCAACTTATCTTTTAATCTAGTGTTAAGTACAGACCAATAAATTGTGTAAAACATTTAATTGTATATGTGAGTGTGTGTATCAACTAATGTATCTAACAACTAGTGACAGGCATTGAGAAAATAGTTGAGAATTTACCTTTATTCTTAAAATTATTTATTATTTTCATATGATTAATAATGTATGCCAGTACTCCTAGGCTATTGTATCTTTGTGATAAATAGTATGAAATATAAAATACAGTGCTTCCACTTTAGACAACAATTTCTATTAATTTTAGATTTCAGTTCCAATTACACTCTAGAAAATACTCCTCACTAGTCATATTCTGACTTATTTGCTAGTTGTTTCTATTCTTATGATTCTTCTTAGTAAAACTAAACTACCCAAAATTGAAAACTAAGTTTTATTATTCTTAGTATTTTAAAAACTGAATTAATGTCCAAGAAAAATAAATTACTATAAATAGATTAGCAATTTGGTAGTGAAGTTTTAAAGACTTTAAAGACCTTAAGACATGCAAACTAATTTCAAGATAACCATCTTAAAAATATATTCTCAGGCCAAAACAGGGCTTTAATTACCAGAAGGAAAGGATTCAGTTCAGATAATTCCCCCTTATGAGGAAAGCTAAAATACAAATATATGAACCTTTGATAGTTTCCTAGACTAAGGTACTGATACCACAGCCATTTTTCTGGACTTAAAAAATACAGAGAATCATTCTTAGTACTTCTCATCTTCACAGCTATCTGCAAATATTGAAAGTTCTATGCTCAACATATAGACGGAAAGTACTTACTTTTATCTCCATATTATCACTGTGGTCTAAGGCGCCTTCAATTCTCACCCAAAGGTCTTAAGCAAATCTGGACTTCATCCTTCCTCCCTACCCTCCATTCTCAACATAGAATTCAATGTGATTCCTTGAATACAGAAGATATATCAAGTCAGGTCTCTCTGCAAATGCCAGAGTGTCATCCTATTTAATGCAGAGTAAATCCCAAATCCTTCAACTGAGTAATAAGATGCTTATGTCACAGACATTGTCACCTCTCTGAATGCACCTGCCATTCTCTCCATAACCCACCGCTTTCCAGACATATTTGTCATTTTGCCATATTCATAAGCAAAGAGCACACTCAATGTCTCAATGGTCTTTCACTTTACATTGTTTCTTTAAAAAAAGCAAAAAGCTATATCCTCACATACCAGCATGACTAACTCCTGCATTTCCTTGAGTGTTCTAGCCAAATGTCCATTCTTGGAAAGGTGTTCTTTTGATCAAGTTGTATAAACAGTGCCCAACTCAGCATGCTGCTTTTCCATTACCCTCAACAACATGCATTACCTTCAGACAGAGACATTTATTTCCTTACTCATTATTTATTGTCTGTCCCCTTATGTGAAACTTAAGATCCATGACTTCATTGATGTCCTCATGGATGTTTCCCACTGTTGTGTACTCTGTATTTTGAACATGACTTGCTCACAAACTAGTTCAAATGAATGAATGTATAACTATCTGAGGAACAAATTAGAGAATGAAAAATCTAGTGAACAATGAAACAAATTTCTGAAATTAAAATAAAATGTAAGAAATGCACTGATTTCTTATGGATGAAAAATAATAATATTTTCATCCATAAATAGACCATTTAAATTTCTTTGACTGATTTTCTCAGGCAAATAGTTTCAGCTTTCTCTGGAAGAATCTGCTTAGAGCCAACATCACTTCCTTATTCCTAAGAGTATATATCAATGGATTCAGCACTGGGGTGACAGTAGTATGTATGATTCCCACAAATTTTTCCTGTATTACAGATGTAGCAGAAGTAGGAGGAATATAATTGAGTGCCACAGTTCCAAAAAACAGACACACCACCATAAAATGGGAGGCACACGTGGACATAGCCTTCTGGAGCATACTGCAGGACCGGTTCTTCAACAGAAGAAAGCCAATAATATAGAAATAGGAAAGAAGTGTGAAGAAGCAAGCTGCCATGGCTAAACTGCAAGTGACCATGGAAATGAGCCACTGATTGAGCCTTATGTCACCACAAGCCAATTCCAAGAGGGGCTTAACATCACAGAAGAAGTAATTGAGTTTCTGAGAGTGGCAAAAGTTCAGGTGTGCAGTCATGACAGAATGCATGAGAGCATAGAAGAAGCTGGTGATCCAGGCCACAGCTGCCAACAGCACACACAGTTGGAGGTTCATGATGACAGGGTAGTGAAGTGGATTGCAGATGGCCATGAATCGATCAAATCCCATGATGGTTAGCAAAAGAGCCTCGGTGCAGCCCAGAAAGTGGAAGAAGTGTAGCTGAGTGATACAGCCTACAAAAGATATGGCCCTGTGACTGGAAAGGAAGTTTGCCATTAGCTTGGGCATTGTCACTGAAGAATAACAAATGTCTAGACAAGAAAGATTTCCCAGGAAAAAGTACATGGGGGAGTGGAGTCTTGGCTCTGAAAGGACAATCGCTAATATGGCCCCATTTCCAAGGAGGTTTACTATGTACAAAATGAGGAAAATCATAAAGATTACAGGCTGCAGCTCCTGAACACATGTCAGCTCCAGCAAAAGAAATTCATTCACTGTGGTGATGTTCTCCACTGTTTGGGAAACCGAAGATAATAGTGACAATAAGCGCATTAGTCAAACTTTTAATCCCTGTGACAAATTACCTGACATAAACAATTTAAGGAAGGAAGGATTTTATTTTGGCTCATGGTTTCAGAGGTTTCACTCTATTATGGCAGTGATTATGACATGATAGAGCCCAGCAGCTCACATCATGGCAACCAGGGAGAAGAGGGAAAGAATACCTGCTCTGGCTAACTTTCTCATTTTCCCCCTTTTATCCTGCCTGGACCCTAAGCTTGTAGAATGCCCATATTCAAGCATATATCCTCTATGGAAAAGCCCTTGCAGACATACCCGAAATGTACTTCACTATTCTATTAGGCACTCTTCAATATAATCAAGATTCACCATCACATATACACCTGAAGGAATCAAAGTTAATTTATAATAGAGATACATCCATACCTGTATCTATTATAACACTATTCCTAATAGCCGAATCATGGAATCATCTTAGATGCCCATCAACAGATGTATTGATAAAGACAATGTGCTCTATATACACATAGGATATTATTTAGCCATAAAGAAAAACAAAATAATGTCATTTACAGGAAAACAGGTAGAAGTAGAGATCATCATGTTAACCGAAATAAGCCAGACTCAGAAAGACAAATATCATATGTTTTCCTTTCATATGTGGAATCTGCAGAATGGAAATTATTTGAGGGAAAAGGGATCCAAGGGTAGAAGGAAAAGGACAAGAAAGGTTCATGGGGGTGATATGATCGAAATACAGAGTATGCAAGTATGAAAATATCATATTGAAGTCCATTATTTTATACAACTAATTTTAGAAAAAATTAAGCATCACAATTAGCAAATATGTTCCAGTATACTATGTAGGGTAAAATGAATCAAGTTTATTATCTAGAAAGATAAAAGGATATAACCTCTAGTAAACAGCATGATTTGAATGTTAGACTTAAATTGATATATAATTAAGGAAAAGAGTAGTACATGATAAGTTCTGAGTCATTGTGATATTTGATACTTAGAAGTGAAAAGGTCACTTAGAATGCTGAGTTAAACCTAAAAAGCAGTTCATGTAGATTAAAGACATTATTTACCTATAGTCTCATCTATGTAATTATAATTAATAGATCTAGTTAAAGTCTGACAAGGATTAATTTATAAAATTTGAGGACTTTTTTTCAGAATAATAATGTACTGTGAAAGAGTGAAAGAGACTGTATTCATGTTTTATTATAGCATATTGTTTAACTTTAGTAAATAACCTCCTGATATGTCTAATTTATAAATTAAACTTTATCATAAGAATGTATATAGAGTAAAAACATGGTAAATAGAGGGTTTGCTCTTATCCTTGCAGCTTTAGGTATCCACTGGGGATTTTGGAATTCATCCTTTGTGGATAAGTGGGAACTGCTGATTTTCAGTTTACTAATTATCAACCTTCTGTGTGATGTTCATTCCACCAATTCACCCTTAAAGTTTCCTTTGGCTGTTCTCTCTCTCTCTCTCTCTCTCTCTCTCTCTCTCTCTCTCTCTGCCTCCACTTAGCTACTGTTTGAAGACATTTTTAAATAGAAGTAATAAGCACACATTTCTGGGTGCTGTATAGAAGCATGGCAATGGTCTTGATTCAAATCTCCTCACTACTACAAAAGAGGGATCAAAGTACATTGTATACACATATGAAAAGTCCATAATTAAACCCATTTTTTAAAACTTGCAAAAATACTTGAAAAAGGAATGATTGGGTAGAGGGGGTGTAAGAAAGTCATAGAGAAGATAAATATTAAAATATATTAAATGCATGAATAGAAATATCATAAGAAACTTCTCAATTTTTACAATTAATATACACAAATAAAAATAATTTTTCAAAGACAAAATAATAATAATAAAATCCAACCTGAATGTAGAATAGTGATTTCCTTGGATTAAGTAGGAAGAGTGTGGCAAGAGTAAGACTGGGTTTGATCAGTGCACACTGCATGCATGTACTGAAATAGCATACTAAACCCCATTAAAATGTACAACTAATACACATTAACCAAAAATTTTTGTATAAAGGAGAATAAGTTCTGCACAATGTAAACCTTTATTGAGCCTAGATCTTTTTGAAAATCCACAAATTTCAAATAATGCATATGCAGAAGGAATACACATCAACAGAATTAGTACCTGATAGAAGAGTGCATCAGGTCTGCAAGCCTGCTCATGCAGAACAGAGGAAGCTATACGTGTAGAAATACAAGCATCAAAATAACTTTAGAAACACCAGAAATAGAGTGCTTAACAGTGAGTATGAATGTCTTAGGAATATCAGAAAAAGATTGTCATTTCATGGGCTCTGATGAAGTAGAAAAAAAAAAGCAGATCTCTGCAAAGAGATTAAAGGTGTAGCAAGAAAATGAGCTAAAAATCTGGGAAAGAGCTCTATGCCCTCTATCTGTATAAACTTCCTACTAGTAATTTGACCACCCAAACTCTTACTTATTCAAATATAAATAGGAAATTTTCTATATCCTTACAAAAGAAAGTAAGAAAAAATAGAAAATTAAAATATCATGATTTCTCAATGAGAGAAATCTCACTTGAAAAAAGGTTTACAGTGAAATTTAAGAAATATCACAACATTCCTAACAGGAGCTATAACTTAATAGGCAAAACAAAAACATGCAAAACATAAATATAAATTAAAATACAAGAATATGCTATTTTCATGAAGATCAATGTTTGCCAACACAATTTATTTGAAGAGGTGATAGACATGTAGTTGGGGAAACAAATCAATTCAATCTCTAAGGAACATTTTGGCAATCACTAGCAAAGATAAAAATGCTCACACACTTTGAACTAGCAACTCCACTTTCTAGAACTTGTTTTTCGGATGTATGTGCACATGTCAAAAATTATATATGTGCCATGATGTTAATTTGGTCATTACAACCAGAAAGACTGCAAACAAACTAGATGACCATAGGGAACTATTCAGTAATTTTCAGAACAAGGTAAGTATTAAAAGAAATGATGCAGCTCTATATTTTTAACTTAGCCATTTATATGCACTGTATGTTTTCACTTATAAACACACACATAAATGCACATATGCAACTATCCTACATTAAATAAACAGTAATTAAATAAATCATAAATTTCTAGGATTTTCCAGGTAATGACTTGAGACTTCTTGTTCCATCCTGTAATTTCCACAATTAAATTCAAAAGGCATTTATCAGTACTCTCATTTACCCTTTTCTAATAGTGTCAGTTTGTTCCCACTAAAAATATGCCAATTTTTTTACATCAAAACAACTTATTCTAGGCTAACCTCTTTTTTTCTGTTGGTCAATTCACCCTATTGTTTAATTTTGTCTTCACATACCTTGGAATAAATACATCTTTTGTACATAAAGACTTTCAATGATGCACCTGTGATGCACTGATTGTCTCCTTGAGTAAAATTAATAGGGATTTTGTGTTGCTCAAAGCCTCATATGATAAACGTCTTATATCTATGCATAAGAAAAAATGACAAAATACTTGGATTTTGTTCTTATTCTGATCAGAAAATAAACAAACTACATCTTCTGACTTTCGCTAATGGTGTCTCGTCATAGGTGTCTTGGGATCTAATCTCAAAAGACTTGTTATCTCTATTTTTTTCTCTCATCATAAGTATATATTTACATTTTATGGTATACTTATAAAAACATTTTATTACATTTAACTGAATAATGATTTTGTTAAGCCTTATATTATTCACTAAAGAAAAAATTAAAAAGATTATGAAAGAAAGAAAAGACACAGCTTTTATCCTTGGACATCTAGCAGCTGGTTAATGAAAATATGTCATCACTTGCAAACATACTTAAAAATTAAAGACCACAAAACTTAAACTGAATCATCTTGGTACAGAAAAGATGAGTGATTTGATTTGAAAATTATGAAACATAAAAAAAACAAACATAAGCAAAAAAAAGTATTTTAAAAGCAGAAAGAAAGATACAGTATGTTCAATGGTTGGGTTTAACCGCCCAACCGTTAAACAGTGAGACATCTGAAATCTCCATGGCAACAATGGAACACAAGTCAGTGAGCGTTCAAATTCATCATATCCAGAAACCATATACTTTATAATTGAGAATAGAATTTGTCCATCTTCAACTTCACAGCAAATTAAGAACTACCACTAGAAAATTTTCACTAATAGAGACTCTATAGGATATGATTAAAGTAACAGGCAAAAGAAATCAAACAGAAAACTCAGAGATTCAAAATATGTAAATACAAAACACCATAGTTAATGACTGGAAAATCAAAAAATTGATTATATAGAACATTATTAATATTTGTTGGTGCTAAAAAGGAGTATCTTTTTGGTGGTACTGGGGGTTAAACTCAGGGCCTCACACTTGCTAGGCAAGTGTTCTACCACTCAGGCGAGGTTCCCAGCCCTTTTTGCTTTAGTTATTTTTGAAATAGTGTCTTGCTTTACGCTCAGGCCAGCCTGGACTGCAATCCTCCTATTTATGCTTCCTGGCTAGTTGGGATGACAGGTGTGTACTTTTATTGGTTGTGATGGAGTCTCATGAACTTTTTGCCCAGGCTGGCCTTAAACAGCAATCCTCCTGATTTCTGTTTCCCAAGTAGATGAGATTACAGGTTTGAACCACTGCAACTGGCACAGAAGAAAATATTTTTAAAGCATGCAAAACAAAATGAGCTTCTATTAAATTAAAGTGTTCTGAAGTCCTTGTATTAGTAAGTATACAAGCTACAATTTCAGACCAAAAGACAAAAAAACAAGCAATGCAAATTCCCAGAGTAGCAGAGAGAGAAACAAATCCAAGAATGATAAAACATATTCATAGTAAAAGAAGGAGAGAGAGATGAATAAGACTAAAAGGGCAGAACACATTAAAACTCATGGACTTTACCACTGTTTCATCACTTAAATCCTAGCAAAGCTTATTTATTCTGACTTACCTAGACTCTTTCTCCGTCACTTTCCTTGGTGACTGAAAAAAAAAAAAAAC